AGGAACCACCTTTATGAGGAAAAATAAAAACAAGCAGGGCTGGGGAGATAGCTCAGCGATCTAAGCACCTGCATGGTAAGTGCAAGTACCCAGGTTCAATCCCTGGTACTGCATTTGTGCCAACCCTGAAAGCAGACGTGGTGGCACATGCCTGTAATCCCAGCGCTGGGGAGGCTGAGATAGGAGGATCACTATGAGTCTGAGCTGTTTAACAAGACCTTGTACAAAATAAATAAATAAGTGAACAAACAAGCAAGCAAAGTGGACTTCCATTTCCTTTTATCATTAGTGCCAAGTGTTCCCAGGTAAGGCCAACTAGAAAACAGCTCTAAGGCCTTGGGCTTAGTGTGTTCCCAAGCCTAAATCAGGCCTTCTGATTGGTTGGCTGATTAACTATACTCAGGAAGAAGGGAAGGGTGGGGCCAGCCCACAGCCAGAGGCAGGAGGCCAGAGCAGCCCCAGCCATTTAGCAGCCTGCAGGGCTGAGGCAGAGCTTGTAAAGAGCAGGTGGTATGGGGCTGGGGAGATAGTAGCGTAAGTACCTGCCTCAGAAGTGCGAGGTCCTGAGTTCGATTTCTGTAGCACACACAAAAGACAAGAGCAGGTGGTAGAGCCACTCCTTACCTAATCTGCATTTATATAATTGTTCCTATGGTTGGGTTCATGTGGTGTTTTGCTATTTTTTTCTCTTTGTTTCATGTAGTTTGTTTCTTCCTCCTTTAATGTCATTTGGGATGTGATTTGATTCCTTTTTTTTTTAAGAAAAGAAAAAAAAACTTCACTCTTAAAAATGATTTTCTTAGTGATTGCTCTGGGGATTATTATATGTTCTACTTTCCAGTGTGTATCCTTTCATTCCCTCCCCCTTTGTGATCTTATTGTCATAGATACTGCATCTAAATGCATTACAAACCAAATAGTGAAATGTTGTAGTTATTACTTTATACAGTCATCTTTCAAAAAACTAAGAGAAGTGAAGGAAAACTTCATATTTGTTAATTTTTATGTTTATGACTTTTGATGTTCTTTATTTCTCTGGATTCACTTGCCATGTGGTGACCTTTACAGTAATATTTTTCTGAAGAACTTCAGTATTATGCATAAAGTCTGCTAGTGGCAATTTCTGTTAGCCTGTCTTTACATGGGAATGTTTTTCTGTTGCATTCATTTTTCTTTTTTCTTTTTTTTTCTTTTTTTTGCGGAACCAGGGATTGAACTCAGATCCTTGCGTTTGCCAGTCAAGCGCTTATCCTATTGAGCCATCTCCCCGGCCCCTGCATTCATTTTTGAGGCTTGTTTTGCTAGGTGTAGAATTCTTTTTGTTTTGTTTTGTTTTCTGAAGTACCAGGGATTGAACTCAAGACTTTGCACTTGCCAGGCAGATGCTTATGCCACTGAGCTATATACCTGGCCCAAAGGTGTAGAATTCTTGGTTACCAGTTTTTCTCTTTCAAGAGAAAGAGTTGAGTTTTGGGGGTTTTTTTGTTTGTTTGTTTGTTTTTTAAGAGAAAATAGCTTTGCTCTTTCAACAGTATTTTTCTTTTGAATGTCATTCCACAGTTCTCTGACCTCTTGATTGGCAAGATACTTCAAATGTGAGTCTGCATTGTGTGATTTGCATATCCGATATTTTATTTTTATTTGTATTTGTATTTTAGGGAAGGGTCTACAGGGTGTTCAGGGTCTCCCTACTAGATTGGACTCAGTGATTCTCCTGTTTACAACCTCCCACGTGCTGGGATTTGCTGGGATTACAGGCACGCGCCACCAGGCACAGTCTCATTCACCATCTCAGGACACCCTGGGGCAGAGCTAGCACTGCAGGCCTGGGTTATGTTTTATTTTGATCTTCAGTAGATTAATTGTGGTGTTATCAGATGTGGATATCTTGGCTATGGGAGGCTGGTTGTCGTATTTGAACTCTTAATGTTTTCATCTAATTTGGCAAGTGTAGGGCTATTATTTCAATTGATTAATTAATTAATTAATGTGTTTATTTCCTTGTCTCTCCCCTTGCCTTCTGGGATGACTGTAATACTGATATTGCAGCTTGATGTTGCCCACGGGTCTTGGAGGTTCTGTCTACTCTTTTCAGGTTTCTTCTCTTTTGTAAGTTGATTTGTCGTAGCTCTGGAACCACCTGCTCCTGTGTGAGCACTGCTGCCAGGTGCTGTGAGAGTGAAGCGAGGCAGGCAAACCCTAGAGTGCAGTCCATCGGGGCTCTGGTATGCAGAAGTGAGTACCTGGGCGGTGGTGGCAGGTCCTGCAGGTGGCTTCACCCGAGCATGAATGACAAGCGTTGATCAGGAGGCACGTTTCTGGTGGCAGGGTCTGGTTGTAAAGCTCCACACAGCATTCTGGTGGTTCATTCTGTGTAGAGCTAGCTGGAGAGCTAGGCAGGAGAACAGACGAGGGTTCCTTCAAGGCAGTCATGGTGGGTACAGCTTGAGCTGGCTGTTCTTGTGTCAGGCCGAATCCTGTCTTCATGTACACTGATCACTCCATCTCCTAGGTCTTCTGAGCCCATCTTCTGTGCAGTTTTTATGTATTAAAATCTGTGTTTAGTTCTAACTGTTACCTTTCAGAATTGGTCTGTGTTCCACATCTGGAGTACTCAGTATCTGTTTTTTCTGAGTGTGGGTCACAGATTCTTTGAATATCTCACAATTTTGTATTGAATATTAAATATTTTAGTTGATATGTTGTAGCAACTCTGGATTCTGATTTATTCCCTATAAGAGTAGGGATGGTGGATTGCTTTTTGTTTTTTTCTTTTAAGTAACTGTCTTGGTCTAAATCTGAAGTTTGTCTACCCCCATAGGTCTCTACTTCGTCATATTTTCTTGTTATGCCTTTTTTTCCTCAGGGCTGCTACTCCTGTGCCTGCAGAGCCAAGGGGCACTTGCAGGTTGTGCTAAGGCCTGCACTTTCTGTAGCTAGGGCTATGTTCAGGGGGGTGCATTCAGCCTTTAGCCCAGGTTCATATCCACCAGCTCTTAAGTTTCCAGGGTCTGCCTGTGGGCTCCATTGCCGGCTGGTGTATTGGCATGCTGTGGCCTGTGCACCTGTGCACCACACCCTGTGGCCGGAATAGACATGTGGAGAGCTCTTCCCTAGACCAGTTGTTATGGTTTGTGTCTAGTTTTCCCCACAAAGTCTCTTGCAGTGACAGGGCAGCTTCTGGAGTTTTTGATTATTGTGGGTATAGATGTTGCATTTGCCCTGGGGCAGGTAATTTGCATTATAATGTAAGGAGGGAAGAGAAGCTAGCTAGCTGCCTGAGCTGTGGCCACTCCTTTTGTTCTCTGCTCTTTGCTGCTACCCTGAATGGCTGCTCTTTTCCCTCTGCCAGTCTGCCTTGGAGCCACCTGAGTATGGACTGAAACCTCCACTGACAGTGAGCTGGAACAAAAGACCTTTCTTTCCCTAATTTTGAGTGTTGGGTATATGTCTCAATAATGAGAGAAGAGTAACTGAGTTCCTGTAGTCCTTGGCTGGTCTGCCCATCTGCCTGCCCTTGGAGATGGCAGCTGCACAGTCTCCCCTTCCCTTGTGTGCAGAGATCCACTGTGAACAACCACACTTCAACCTAGCAGGCCCTTTTTGGCAGTGATATTGCTGGTTTTTGGGGCCTTTGTAGCTTTTGAATGAGCCAGAACAGCACAGAGAGAGGAGGTGCTAGGAAAAGACTTCCCAAACCCATGCTACTCGCATATGAGTGCTGGTGATCTCAGGAGCAAACAGCGTTCCATTTGCTCCTTTCGTAAGGCAGATGTGATTGTTTTTGGTGGTTTGGCCCACTTTTGTGGCCACTTTGAAGGAGGGGATGGTTGCCCTCCACTGCCCTGGGAAGGAGACTCCTGGGCCAACTATGTGGGCCCATCATGCTCAGTTAGTACTTTCCAGCAGCAGGCTGTGGGACTGCAGTTCTGAAGGGCTGGTGGCAGGCTTGCTAGGGCCTGGATGAGATCTACACTAGGTGGTGCCCCTGGGTACGTAATGACTGAGTAGATGTGACCGTGGGCCAAGCCTCCACTTGTGTGTGTCAAAACACTGTGTCAGAGTGAGGGCTGCGGATACAGGTGACTGTGCTGGAGGAGGGAGGCAACGGGGTCATCTTGGACAATCTGGGCAAGTAGTCTGCTAGCCCAGCATTCTGGGAGACTAAGGCAACCTCAACCCTGCCTCAGGATAAAGGACGGAGGTGAGGGCTGGGCAGTGGACTTCAACGCTCAGTGCTGTAGAAAAGCTTGCGTTGAAGCAGGGAATTGCACTGGTGAGTTGCACGGCATACTTGTGGCAAAGCACTAGGTGGTAGTAGTAGTATTCTAACGTCAAAATTGCAAGTGAGTGGAGCACACTGGGTAGAGTGGCAGCGGTTGTTGAACTGAATGATGGTGAGGGTGTGCTATTTACCATTCTCTTGTCTTTGGTGTATGTGTGCAAGTTTTCCTAATTCAGAGCAGAGGAGCCAGTTAACCAAGGCAGGAGTGTTGCTCCCAAGTGCCCATGATGAGATTTGGGAAAACCCGCTTATGTCTGGAAAGCTAAGGTGAATCAGTGAAAATTATTATAACTTTATAAGGGCCTGATAAGACACTTAGATAAAAGGTAAACACACAGAAACCTGTAGATGGCTTCCACAGAGGCTGTGCTGCCTGCCGGTATGCTGGAAGGGGCTGAGGCCCAGCATCAGCTGCAGTGACACACTACCTAGAAATATTCTAGCTCCAAGACATGTTCTGTGTAGTTTGATTGTGTAGATAGAAAGTTGACCTTCCCAAATTGGTTGTGTTTTAGTCTTGGTGAAAAGATAGTAAATTTCATTTAGCTGCTGCCAGGGAAAAGAGCACGTAAGAGCTTGTTGGACGAAAGTGAGATTGTTCGATCAGGCTCAAGTGGCATGGGCAGCTCTTGCAGACACCCTAGGTCGCTGAGGCCTGACAGCTGGTCAAGGCCACCAGGAAATGACCATAACACAGTGTTCCACCCTGTTGCAGTTGGAGCGGTGCCCGTCCTTTCCAAAGAAGCCAGCTCGGGGGAGAGGGGCCGTCGCTTCAGTCAGGTGAAGACTCCACACAACCCCTTGGACTCCAGTGCCCCACTGATAAAGAAGGGGAAACAGCGGGAGGTCCCCAAGGCCAAGAAGCCCACTTCCCTGAAGAAGGTATGTAGAGGGTTTGCACAGATGAGTTGCACATATCCATGTTTTTGGGTTTTTTGTTTTTTTTTTTTTTTTTCCACATATCCATGTTGACATCTCCCAGCGCTTAGATTTCCAGATTTTTGGGTTTATATTAAACAACGTCTAATCAAGTTGTGTTCATGCCTTGCTGGCAAATGCTTCTTCATTTGAGGAAATGGGCAGGGTAGAGTGTGTGAAGCAGGGATTGCTTCAGCCACCTGCTGGAAAAATGGGTTCTTTTGCTTTGTGGTGACAGGGACAAAAGATCAGAAAGGAGAGTTACCCTTCCCTCTTCATACTTCATGCCCTTGCCCCCGGCTGGTAATCTGTACACACTCTTGTGGGTCTCTCGTGGCCCTGTGGTGTGTGTTCTTGGTCTCTGCCTGAGGTAGGCGCCTAGAATTGGCTTCATAGCCCAGGTTCTCCTTGCCTGCTTTGCACAACCTTAATGCTTGGGGTCACTGTTGTTCCCACACTGGCAGAAGGGGCGTTCTGAGGACTGGGGTGCCTTTGTTGGTCCCAAAGCACAATCTGGCTGTTCAACACACTGAACTCAGGCAGCTGATTTTGCAGAAGAACTTGTATTTTAGGTACTGGTACTAGGGTGTTTTAATCATTTCTTTAATTTTGAAGATTATTTTGAAAGAACGGGAAGAGAGAAAGCAGCAGAGGCTCCGAGAAAATGCCTTGAGCCCAGCTGTGCCCAGTGATGAGGCACAGGATGCAGAGAGTGGTGCCGAGGAGCAGGCCACTGACCAGGCTGGCCTCACAGGTAGCGTGGAGTTTCTGTGCTTTGGTGCCTGAGGTGGGAGCTTCTGTGAGCATGGCGCTGTACGCAGCACACGTCCCCTCCACAAGTGTGATTCCTATGGTGCAGCAGGCAGCTCTGACCCAAGGAGGCCATGAGTGTGAACACCAGAAAGGGCAACTTGCCTGCAGATGCCTGAGCCACGCTGCTGTAGACGTGCATATGTCTGGCTTTGGCTTCATGAAAGGCACTGAGGAATCCAGCACCTGATTGAGGAATCAGAATAACCCAGAAACCTCTCCGCTGTGCCACGCCACACCCCTAGCCGTCATTGTTGTGCAGGGGAGGGTGGTGGTGGGGTTGAGGCAGTGCCCAGTTCCAGACTGCTAGAAGAAGGTTGCTGTTGATGCAGGTGTGTTCATGTGTGGCATTTTCCCTGGGAGCAGTATTGCCTTAGGTCAATACTGGAACTAGTTCAGTTCTTAGAACTGTCACAGGCTCCTCCCAGTTACACCCCAGTCTGGGGTGGGGGTGATACTGGCATTCCCATCCTTCCTGCCCTGAGCCTTGTCTCTGGAGCTTTGCTCCAGCTGGTGTGGGGAGAGTTTTGTGTTTCTGTCTCTGATCTGGTGGCCTGCAAAAGTTTCCTTTTTGGGATGGCAAGCTGTTACTGAACCACAACATGTGTTAAACGTACCTCAGGTTTGAGGTACTCACAGATATTTCATTTTTTGTTTTTCTCAGTGCTAGGGCTGAGCCACAGGGCCACAGCTGTGCCAGGCAAGTAACCCCTCCACTGAGCTGACCCCCAGCCCCGAGGCTCAGATGTTAAGAGTTTAGCTCTTATGCACTGTTTGCAAAAGGGATGGCCCCAAGCACTTCAGCATAAAAAACCCAGAACTGTAGCTCTGATTTTTAAAACTTCCTGATAGAAAGTTCTTCAGATCAGATTCCAGAACGAAAAGATGAATATGGCTAATGGACTGCACCCTTAAAACGTGGTTAAAATGGTAATTTTCCTGTATATTTTACCAGAGTAAAAAGAATGAATAAACAAGCTTAAGGGGACAGGAGAGGCTCATGTCCTGGAAACCAGGAGACTGTCTGTCTCTGTCAGCTTTTTTGCTTCTCCAGTGGCTCTGTTAGCCACCTGTTCTGCTGTCCCACAGCACTGTTGGGAGAGTGGCAGGTTGGTCAGGCACTGGTCACATCAGGGGGACTTCCATGAGCCAGTTCTGGGTGGGGGTCTTCACTGCACCCAAGGGCCCTGCAGAGATGTACAGTGACTTTTTCATCCCTGAAGTTTCAGGGGCAACAGAAGAATTGGCCTCCTCCACTCCTGTGGTTGCGGGGCAGTCAGAAGAGCCACCTGGTGCAGAGTTCCAGAAGGATGCTGAGGCCTGCCAGCCTGCACCTGACCAAGCTGCCTTCCCCAAGATCCACAGCCGCAGATTCCGGGAGTGAGTGAGCAAGTGCCTGCCTGCTGGGGCCTGGGAGAGGCTGGGCACTTGGGGTTGGATTTGGCACTAATTTCTCAACCTTACATGCACAGCACCAGAAGTCCAGGTAGTTAGACCATTCTGTACCTTAATCTTCCAGATTGAAAGTGGTCAGGTACCTAATTAGTTATGTGGTGGTCTGACCCTTATATTTCCTAGGGACCCTTATCTGGGGTTTCTGTCCTGCCAGTGATGATGAAAGAGGTGTCTTGGATCCAGGATTGCAGGGTAGAGGGGTGGTGAGGTGACAGTGATGTTATTGAGATTCGTCTTATGATTTCATTTCTCCATATAAGTTTTTAAGGGCAGGGTTCTTTGACCTTGCTTGTCTGCTCTCTTTCTGGGTAGTTTGTCCAGGCATTTGTGTTTGGAACAGAGAAGACACATGGAGGAGTGGCCGAGGTAGCAGCCTTCCACTTCCAAGGAATGGAAGGCAGGGCCTGTAGGTTTTTGTCCCAGTGTGGATCAGTGCCAGGAAGATGCCTCAGAGATTACCTTCCCCGGTATCATTCCAGGGTTCTGATGAGTGTTACTGTCCCTATGACTTCCTGTCCAGTGCTATTTCTGTTCCTTTTCTCTGGGGTAGATGGTTATAGGGCCGAGGGCCAAGTTCTTGGTGTCTGATGTTCCTTTCAGTTACTGCAGCCAGATGCTCAGTAAAGAAGTAGACGCCTGTGTGACAGAACTACTCAAGGAGTTAGTCCGCTTTCAAGACCGAATGTACCAAAAGGATCCAGTGAAGGCTAAGACCAAACGCCGGCTTGTGCTGGGGTTGAGGGAGGTTCTCAAACACCTAAAGCTCAAGAAGCTGAAGTGCATCATTATTTCTCCCAACTGTGAGAAGATACAGTCAAAAGGTAATACATGCCCTGTGCTGTTCTGTGGCACATGGGCTCCTGTAGCTGCCCTCATGCTTGAGTACCTCTGGACTAGCTGTGTCCCTAGCCCCAGGTCTAGCCCACATCCACATGGACTGTGCTGACATACTTTCAGATTTGCTTTGTATTGAGTGACTGGGGAGAGTCATGGCTACTCTTGCCACAGAGGTGATATGCTAGCAGCCGGGCCGCCCAGGCTCCCTGGGGCTGTACAGTGTATTAACAGCCCATCTGCCCATTCACTACCATGGTGGCTGTGTCTGAGTACTGTGCCATTTTGTCTGGACTGGAAGGTGCTTTTCATCAAATGGTAGGTGTTACATAAGGTGACAGCCCTCCTCTGCGATGGCTCCTATTTACCTTGTGCTTGGACCCTCTTGGCTCTCAGGGGATGTCTACATTATGTCCTCTCTCGTCCAGAGCAGTGGGCTGGAGTACAGCTCTGTGGTGGTCTCTTGCCAGCATCTGCTGGGCTTGCATCCCAGTAGTGCAGGACAGAAGTTGTAGGAGCGGAGTGGCCTTGCTGGCATGTACCCCTGCCTCACCTCGTCAGTGCTGGCAGAGGAGGTAGCATCTACGCACACCAGCCTTCCTTGGCCCTGCACCTTTCTCCTGCTGTGTAAACCTTAGCTCAGTCATAATCTTGGGGCTGAGCCACATGATCTTAGTGCTTGAATCCAAAGCTGGGAGGTTTTCTGGTATCTGAGGCCTCCACTGGCCAGCAGGCACAGTAGATGCCTCATGTCCAACTTGACCCTGTGCTTGCTCAGTGCAGGTACAGCAGCCCCGCTGACCTGAATCTGATGGGATTCCAGTGACCTGTCCCCTGGCTGTATGTTGCAGTGCCCACCCTTTCCAGGTCACTGGAGAGAACAAGCTGTTAGTTTTTCTGCTCTGAACAGGGTGAGCCTGCATAGCTGAAAGGGTCTCATAGTTACACAGCATTTGTTTAGGGGGAGGGCAGCTATGTGCTCTGGGCCTCCCACATACCCACTTTACCACTTAGCCCTCTAGCTACTTTAGGGCTGTTTCCTCCCATAGCTTCAAGCATGTGGCTTGCAGGCTGCTTGATCATTTCCTCTGTACTCGTTTGGTGACTTCCCAGCAGAATCATCCCCCAGCTTCCTAATGCTGGGATTCTAGTTCTTCTTTTGTGGTACTTCCACCCCTTATTACTGGGGATTGAACCTAAGACCTTTGCATTGAGCTACATACCCAGTCCCATTTTTATATTTTATTTTTGAGATAAGCTCTTGCTGTGTTGCCCATTTGGGCTTGAGCTTACAGTCTTCCTGTCTTAGCCTTCTAGAATGCTTAATATTTAACTTTGTATGCACTTAACATTAACCAAATAACCTATGGCCTCAGCCCACTGCTTTAGAGCTTTCGGATGTGGGGTACTCATTCTGGCTTCCTTGCCTTTTGTGCAGCTGGTCACCCCTCAAGCCCTTTTCTTCCACTCTGTTCTGGAGTAGACAGTTTTGGGGTATACCCTTGTTTTCTGGAGTAGGTGCTACTCTGGACCTTGGTTCTCTGCTCATCACCAGAAATCCCAGTGTGTGCCACTATGGGGTGGAGGCGCTCAAGCCTGGGAGGATCAGACTCACTCAGAGGGCTAGGGAAGCAGGGGTGGCAGAGATCCTGCCGGGACAGGTTCAGTGGGGCTTTGCACTAAGCCAATTCCCAGTGATGCTGCCCCAAGAAGCCCACTAGAAAAAGCTCAGCTGCAGGAGGGATTTGGGCTGCTGCCTAGATGAGCATGCCCTGGGATTGGCTTGTTCCCCCTCAGAGCTGGTTACATGCTTCTGGGAAAGGCAGGCTGAGCTCTCAGAGGTATGTTGTGTGAGGACCCTGTCTCATCTGAGGGCTGTGGCTGGGGGCTAGAGGCCTGCTGCCTCCTCAGTGCTGTCAGTGGAGTCTGTGCTGCATTCCCTCTTGTGCTGCCCATGCCTGAGCCACCCAGGACCCAGGTGTGGCCTGCCTGACCTGTCCCCACTGTGGCTTAGGTCCCCAGGCTAGCTCTGTTGCCCATGAGCATTTCTACTTCTAGGATTCTTACCTCCCAGGGATTCATGTCTAAACATTACAAAAGTGGATGAGTTGCCCTGGGCCAGAGTCCACTACCCCCCCTTGGGCATACCTTGCTCTTCTCTCCTGAAGGTCAGTGTTCTTCTTGATTGGCACCTTAAGGTTTGTTATGCACTTAGAAGTGTAATTTAGGTCTTCCTTTTGGTAGATTGCTAAGATAGCCAGTGGTTTGATATTTTACAATCAAGTTAGCCTTGAACTATGTTGAGGTAAATTTGTTTGCCTAGAATGGCATTTTTCTTAGTAATTGCAGCCTAAGATCATTGATTAGAGCTCAGCATTTTTTCTTGTTTTTCTGAGCTCCCCTGTTGCCCCCTGAAGCAGCCTTGGAGTGAGCATGCTTTCCTCTCTTTAATATCTTTCTCATTGAGGTTGTTCGAGTAAAGCAGCCTTGACTTTGCTGCTTTTGTTGGGATCCCTGAGTCTCCCAGGTTCAGTGAGCCCAAAAAGATCTACGTGCCCCAGCAGGCAGCTGAGCTTGCTGTGTCATTTACCATGGTAGAAAGCTGCAGAGCAATAGCAGCAAAGGGAAAAGACACCTAGAGTAGAGCAGAAAGACCAGGCACACACACCCCCTCTGTTGGCACATTCCAGAGCTCACCCTGAAGGAGAGGAGCTGGCAGTAGTGTAGCCACATGCCCACAGTGGAGGCACAGGGAACTTGTTACCAGCACCCAGCCACGTGCATAGAGCCCAGCCCAGGCGCCTGGCAGGCCTTCAGAGGGTGCAGGCAGGTCTGCGCTGTTGGGGTTCTTCCACACTGCACTGCAGTATTTAGTAAGAGCCCAGGCTGCCAACACTGGCAGAGGAAGACCCACCAGTGGGAGAACAGAGCAGGCTATGGAACTTAGCCTGTCTCATTGCAGCATCCCACCCTGCACCAGTCTGCTCTTTGCCAGCCTATCCAGAACTAGTGTGCTTCCTCTGAGGTCACATCTCCAGAGGGGTTTCCTCCTCACTTCCTGTGAGGCCACATCCCAGAGGGCCTGTGGACATGTCTTTTGTAGGGCAGGGTGGGCAAAAGTAAGGACCGTGGGTTTCAGAGTTAATCTCCATGCAGTGTCTAGGTCCCATGGTGTAGGGCAGGATGAGCATTTGACAAGTTTGCCAGTTGTAACTGTAGCAAAGACTTGTCTTTCTTCCATTGTTTTGGAGAAGTGTGCATGTATCTTGCAGATTCTGTCCCTGGCCTTGACAGGATGGGCATCAGTGACTGACTCCAAAGTCTGCCCGCTGCTTCCCTCAGTGACCTGCAGCTTCCACCCACACAGCTGCACCACCCTCTGGGGGAGTTGATTTGCATGTTTTGTAGGAGTGACGGTCAGCATTTTTTCACTTAAGAACTTTTTATTTTCTCTTAGTTCGTATTCTTTGTCTTTTGGTGAGTTGACCTTTTTATGTTGACTTTTGACTTGTACCTTTTATTAGAATAAGGGATAATAGTGGCAGGTATTTTTCTGATTTGTCATTTGCTTTTTAAACTTTTTTTTGGCCTTGTTAAATATTGTAAATATTGGTATTTTTCATTCTTGTTTTTTCTTTCTGCATCTAGGTTTTATTTCATTTCTCAACCTTCCTACTACAAGGTCATTAAAGAATTTTTGAAATTGTTTTAGAGAGCTGGCCAAATAGCTCAGTGGACGAAAGCACCTGTTTAGGCAGGCGCAGGGATGGGGTGGGTATTTGATCCCTGGCGTTCTCTGCCAGGCCTGCCCCTGCTCCTGGAGTGCACTGAGAGGGCGACTGAGACTGGGCGTGGTGTCTTGGGAGGCTGAAAACAGGAGGATCATGACAAGTCTGATCTGTAAGATCCAGTACTAAAATACAGTTTTTAAAAATATTTTTTTCTGCTTGTTTAATGTTTCTGTATGTTTAAGTAGCTGCATATCAGTGTAAGATGAATCTAGCTGGATCTTTGCAGAGGCCTACTGCACCCCACACCTCCCCAAGATCTTTTCCCTAATAAGTGGAAGTGTCCCATGCTAGCTTGCTTATCGCGCATTCCAGTTGCTCCTGGACCCGCTGCCTGTGGACTGCATCTCCTTGTTGGTAGTATTGAGCTTTATAGCAAGCATGGAACTTGGCAATGCTAGCCTCATATTTTGCTTATTTTTCATTTCAAGAAATCCTGCTTTGTAATAAGCTTAAATCTTAAAAGGTTGGAGTTAATGTAGAGTTGGCATTTTATCATCTTAGATTGTCCTCTCCAGAAGCACAGAGGCTTTTTTTGCATAGATGCTCTGGTGTTAATTAGCATGTGGAAGTTGTGCTGTAAATCTTTCAGGTTGCTGAATAAATGTGTTCGTGCTGAGGCAGTCTGTGATGGGGCCTCTGTCTGCTGTGGAGCTCGGCTGTCCTTGAGCCCCAGACCCTCATCTCCTGCCCTGGGAGTGCTCCCTGCTGCCCTGGGGTGCTTTCCCCCTACCCTGCTGTGCGTTCACCTTGGCTCCCCAGGCAGGAGGAGACAGTGAGCCCCTGGAAGCCAGAGCCCTGCCAGAGGGGCCATGCAGGGTGAGGAATTCTCTTCTCTGGGCCTCTGGTCTCATGTGTAAGTGGGGCTCACATCTGCCTTTGAGGGTTTGGGGTGGGACCATGTGAAGGCGCTAATCTGTGGCCTGGCAGGAAGAGTTGTATAGTGCTAGCCAGCGCTTAACTTTGCTGTAGCGTTGTGCAGATGCACAGGATGTTGTTAGACTCTGGGGGTGTCTCTTGGAGAGTGGTCCTTTCATGTGGCCAGCACCTGTACTCTGGGGAAATTCAGCAGACTGCAGAGTTGGTGTAGAGCTTTAGGCAGTATGTCTGCTGTCCAGTCAGTCAGGCTCAGCTGCAGCCTCTGTGATGTGATAAGATGATCCTTATCTTCTGACCAGGTGGGCTGGACGACACCCTGCACACCATTATTGATTGCGCCTGTGCGCAGAACATCCCCTTTGTGTTTGCTCTCAATCGCAAGGCTCTGGGGCGCAGTTTGAACAAAACAGTTCCTGTCAGCGTCGTGGGCATCTTCAGCTACGATGGGGCGCAGGTGAGATGGGGTCTGAGCCAGATAGGACCTGGAGGAGGTGGTCTCTGTTCCCCTATGGTATAGGCTAATTATTCTGCTATGCTGGCTCTGGGGAGATGCCTTCAATGAGGTAGGAACTTCTCATAAAACAATGGCTTTAGTTTCTTGACAGTGCTACATGCCTGGCCCTGAATCTGGCATTGGGCTGACAGTCAGCAGGTGTCTCAGGAGGTGGTCCACTGTGGGCTCTAGGTGGTGCCCCTGCAACAGGCCCAGAGGCTTGTTGCCATTTTCTCTGTGGTATGCAGGGACCAAGGGTCATTCTGGGATGTTAACCTGTGTGCTCTCACTTGTGTCCAAGGACCAGTTCCACAAGATGGTTGAGCTGACCATGGCAGCCCGGCAGGCATACAAGACCATGCTTGAGAATGTGCGGCGGGAACTGGCAGGGGAGTCTGTGCCTCAGATGCCTCCCAGCCCACCCTCAGAGGGCCCCAGTGGCTCTGTGGAGGACACCCCTACAGAAGAGCCCCAATACAGTGAGTGGTTAGGATGCGGGGCTATAGGGGGAAGGCACTCTGTGGCTTACATGGGGTCCTCAGGAAAGCACCCTGGCATCCATGGTGCCAGACACACTGCAATAGGACCTGAGAGGTCCAGACTGTGGCCTGACAAGACTTGGGAAACTATGAGGGCCTGAGACAGATATCTGTCCCAGATGAGTATCACCCACACGTCACCCAGAGGATAGTCTCGAAGGTAGCACACTTAGGAATGTTTTGGGAGGCCAAGTGGAGTCTCAAAGGGTGCTCTCCAGGGTATGGCTGAGGTTGCTCACTGAGGGATCCCAGTAGGCTGGGAGGCGGGCAGAGCCTGCTCTGAGCAGGGGTAGCGTCTCCCCACTGGCTTCCTGGGAAGAGGGGTTTCTGACTTGTCTGCCCCTCACTGCTGTTTCCTGTTCCAGTTCAGGTTTGGAGAAAGCATCTGGAAGCATACAGTTGCTGCACCCTGGAGCTGGAAGAATCCCTGGAGGCCTCAACCTCTCAGATGAGCAACTTGAATTTATAAGGAGAGATTTCTTTCCTATATGTCTGTGTATTGTGAGTAAGGAGCAGGGAAGCTTCAAAAGACATCAGGGCTGTTCTTTTCAGTTTTTCACTGACCTTCTGTATTTTGTATGGCTATTGAATTTGGAAATTAACCTCCACAAAAGACACACAAAATGGTGGTTGTGAGGCTTCAGAGGTGGGATTCCACCTGCTGCCAGCTGCAGTCTGGAGAACACTGGAAATGCATCCTTGAGCACCTCAGCTGCTGGGGCCTCCCCTCTACTGCCGCGTGGCTGAGCCTAGACTGTCACAGAGGCAGGCAGGGGCAAGGGCTGGGAGGAGCTGACTCTCGCAGGGATGCTGACATTGGAACAGAGGGCAGTGGGCATGGGCCCTTTCTCAGGGGCATAGCTCTTCAGCTTAACAGTGGGGAGGAGTTGCTAAAATGAGCCTCAGAAGGAACATTGGTTTTCTAACCTGCGACTTTTTGACATCAGTTACTGGTTTTGGTCTGTATTTCCAAAGAAAGGGTGTGTATTCAGGTTGCTAGATTTCAGCTTAGTTAACCTACTAATCTTCCTTTTTTAAATGAACATATTGTGAATGTGATTTCTGTCATGGAGCCCAAGGGGCAGAGCTTACTTGCATATTTTCCCTGTAAGAAAGCGGGTTTATTTATTTTGAATAAAGAGTGATTATTTAATTTCATTTCAGACTCTGATGCTTTTAGCCTTGTCAGTGGTCTCAGTCATCTGGTTACTCCTGCATCCTGAATTGTCCCTGTGAGACACTTGTCTCTGACCTGGTGGGGCTGAGCCAGGCAAGATGGCCATGTGCACCAGCTCTAGCAGTGGGCCCTGCTGAAGTGTCAGGGCTAAAGGGGCCTTTCGGTCCCAGTCCATTCTTGCATTCCCTTCACCAAAGCTGGTGGTAGAAAAGGTTTTCATTTCAGCGTGTCAAGCAAGCAGGTCCTGTACTGCTTTGGTTTTGTAGCTCCTGTTCAGTTCATTACCACCAGACACTAGTGGCCCAGATCACACTGCACAAATGAGTCAGAACAGTGTGCTGTGGGCAAGGCTGGCAGTGTGCCACAGGGTGCTTGTGGTGACCACCTTCAGGATCTGTGTGGCCAGCACGTGGCTGGCTGGGGTGTGTTCTTAGGTAGTATGGGACACATGTGTGGCCAGCCAGGTCAGCAAGATAGAGGAAGGCATCTTTTCTGCCTACCCCTGATCAAGAGCCAGAGCAGGTTGATGTGGTACGTTTGAAAATAGGAGCTCATGTGAGAATAAGAGCTCCATGTGTACTTTATGGGGAAAAAATTAAATAGCCTTTGAGCTATACTCAGTAGGTAGAATTTTTACACTTGATCAGTCAAAAAATTGTTGGGGGGCCTGCCCCTTAGCTCAGGTCTTTAAGTGGCTGCTTCAACAAAGCAGTCAGGCTCAGGTCGCTGTGGTTCGATCCCCACAACTCAAGTCAGCCAAACCTGGCCTGAAGGCATTTGGAGCAAAAAAAAAAAATTGTTTTAGTTTCTCTTGGAGATGCGGTCTACTCAAATGCCCTTCTTGGAGGGCTCCAGGTCTGTGGTACCTGTGGTGCTCAATTTGGCTTAAATGTGGTAAAGTAGAGATTTGGGGGTGGGGGCTGAGCACAACAAATGTGCAGTTCTTGTATTAACATGTGCAGAGTCCCAAGTCCTCCTCGGAGCTACAGTCCCCACCAGGAGACCCGGTCACCGAACCTCGAATGTGTTCCCTATCTTATAGAGCATGTGCATCCACTGAGTCACCTCAGGGAGAATACCATGGGAAGCACCCTAGAGCTCACAAAATTCACTCAGCACTGCTGCACTTGAATGTACTCCTTCGAGCCCCATGAATGTGAGTGGACAACTCACAGAAGAGCCTCCTGTTACATGTCCTTGACAGTTCTGTGAGCAAGATGATGGCCCTCATCCAGATGGGTGGGCAGGCACCTGGCAGCCTCCAAACCACTCCAGGAGACAGGGACAGAATGTGCACAGGCAACCAAGATAACTCTACTCACAACTCCTCATCTCCAGGATCCTCTTTCACTCCAATGCATGAAGGATCATGTAAGAACCAGTGTGCTTTTTTCATGGGAAGATCTCAGAATTAAGGTGTGGAGCAGGCTGTGCTCACATGGCTAAAGAGAGAACCAGTACTTCATGACAGCCATGGTCCTACGAGGAGCTCAGCTCTCAGTTTTTTTTTTTTTTTTTTTGTATTTATAGTACAGGGTCTACAGGGTCTCACTACAGATCAGACTCAGTAATTCTTCAGCCTCCCAAGACCTGGGATTACAGGCACACCCAGTCTCAATCTCTGTCTCAGCCGCCCTGGGGTGGGGCTGGCACGGCATGCTGGGAATTAAACCCCAGTCTCTGCCTCTGCCTAAGCAGGTGCTTTAATCTGCTGAGCTATCTGGCTGGCCCTCTTCTTTTTTTAAGTTTAAAACAGGTAAATCAAAATTTCATAACAAAATAATAGAACAATAGCAATTAATACATGCATGTTCTCTTTAAAGCAATTACTCAGAGTATAAGATATGGACATTAAAATTTCTCTAATTGGTATTAGCACAAACCTTTTCAATGATTAAGAGACACAAATAGGGCTGGTGAGATGGCTCAGTGGTCTAAAGCACCTACTTACAACAAGCTTAGCAAACCACAGGGACCACGGTTCGATCCCCCAGCACCACATGCCAGCCTGCCCCGCCCCCTGGGGGGCTGAGCTGGCCACACACACACACACACACACACACACACACACGCATAAATAAATAAAATTAAAAAAAAAAGACACAAATAGTATAACTGACTTGTATTTTTTCTCCTTCTGTCCTTTCCCCTTTCACCCATCCTAGTTTCTTTCTTTTTGAACAATTTCTTCCCATTTCATAATACCTATTGTATATTTTAGACCTTATTATTGAATTTCTCACACAAGGGAGACATTATGAAGTTTACATGAGTCTGGTTTATTTCACTTATGAATATGGTCTCAAGTTACATTCATTTACTTATAAGTTTCAAGGGCCAAGGAGATAGCTCAGTAGAATAAGTGCTTGCCTGGCAAGCACAAGATCCTGAGTTCAATCCCCGGCACCACAAAAAAAAAAAAAAAATGCTTTTGGGGCTGGAGAGATGGTGGAATAAGCGCTTCCCTGGCAAGCACAAGGGCCTGAGTTCAATCCCTGATTCTGCCAAAAAAAAAAAAAAAAAAAAAAGTTTCAGGGCTGGCCAAATAGCTCAGCAGATTAAAGCGCCTGCAAGCAGGTGCAGGGATCACAAGTTTGATCCCTGTGCCTGCCATGCTTGGTGACTGTGCCTGTAATCCCAGCTCTTGGGAGGCTGTAAACAGGAGAATCACTACGAGTCCGATTTAGTAGTGAGACCCTGAACACCCTGTAGACCCTTCCCTAAAATACAGAAAATAAATAAAAGTTTCAGGGCTGGGAGATAGCTTAGTAGCACAAGGTCCTGAGTTCAATCGCCAGTACCACAAAAAAATAGTTTCCAATTTATCCTTTATTGCTAAGTATTGTTCCATTGTATAAAAATACCACATTTTCTTCATCCATTTCTTGTTGATGTGCATTTGAGTTGTTTCCAAGATCTAACTGTGACCAACCATGTTGCTATAAACATAGGTGCACATATTTGCTGTGGTATGATGTTTTGAATTGTTCTGAAAAGATACTCATAAGGGGAATATAGTTGGATCAAATGGGACCTCTGATCCTAGCTTTTTGAGGAATCACCATACTGATCTCTGTGGTGGTTGTACCAGTCTGTACTCCCACCAACAGTGGAGATGTTGATTTCTTGATGGTTGCCATTCTTTCTGGGGTGAAATGGAATCTCAGTGTTATTTTAAATTGCATTTCTAGAATGACTAGTAATGGTGGCCATTTTTTCATATATTTGCCACTTGTATTTCTCCATCTGAGAAGTACACATTCATCTCAGATGCCCATTTTTGTAATAAGTCCTTGAATGGGTTGGAGGACGTGTGCTTTTTTTTCCCCCCTCCTCCGATTCTTTATATATTCTATATAGAGGTCTTTTGCCTGAGGTACAATTGGCTAAATTTTTTCCCACTCTTTTAGGTATCTTTTCACTTTATTAGTGATTTCTTTTGATGTACAAAAAGAGGCTTTTTAATAAGAGGAGATCCCAACTATTGATTTTGGAAGTATTTCCCGTACTGTTTTATTTTTGGTTTGTTTGTTTTAGGAAAGGGTCTACAGGGTGTTCAGGGTCTCACAACTAGATCAGACTCATAGTGATTCTCCTGTTTACAGCCTCCCAAGTGCTGGGATTACAGGCAGGTGCCACCACACCCAGTCTTAATCGCTGTCTCAGAACGCCCCGGGGACAGGGCCGGCACAGCAGGCACAGGGATCAAACCCGTGGCCCCTGCACCTGCTTGCAGGTGCTTTAATCCACTGAGCTATTTGGCCAGTCCTCAGTTTGGGTTTTGTTCATGAACTCTCTGCCTATACCTATACCTTCAAGATTTCTACCTACTTTTCTTTCCAGTAGGCTTAGTGTTTCTGTTTTAATATTTAGATCTTTGAGGGCTGGCGAGATAGCTCAGAGGATTAAAGCACCTGCTTTGGCAAATGCAAGGACCAAGGTTTAATCCCAGGTCCTGTATGCCACACTGCCCCTGCCCCCGGGGTGTGCTGAGCCAGTGACTGGGTTCCAGGCGTAGTGGTGTATACCTGTAACCCAGTCCTGGAGAGGCTGAAAACAGGAGGATCACTACAAGTCCGAGCTGCATAATGAGACCCTGTACCAAATACATAAAACTATATTATATTAGATCTTTGATCCATTTTTACTTCAGTGCATAGTGATAGACAGGTCTAGTTTTAGTCTTTAGCATATGGAGAACCAGTTTTTCTAGTACTATTTATTAAAAGATGTTATCTTTCTTCCAGTGAACATATTTGGCCCTTTCATTAAAGATAAGTTGGCTGAGTGTGTTTATAATTGTGACTGCATTTTCTAATCTGTTACACTGGTCATCAGGTTTTTTTGGTTTTTTTGCCAGTACCATGCTGATTTTAATCATAGTAACTTTATAGTATAATTTCAAGTCAGGGGGGCTGGTGAGATGGCTCAGTGGTCTAAAGCACTTATTTAGAACAAGCTAAGCCAAGCAAAGCACAGGGACCTCGGTTCAATCCCCCAGCACCATATGCCAGCCCGCCCCGCCCCCTGGTGGGTTGAGCTGGCCACACACAAAATAAATAAAATAAAAATAAAAACAAAATAAAAAATTTCAAGTCAGGGACTGTGATACCTCCTGTCTTGACTTTGTTGGCCAGGATTGTTTTTGCTATTCTAGGTCTCTTCTGGTTCCAGATGAATTCTAGGAGTGTTTTCTCTAGATCGGTGGGATATTCTAATGGTATTTCCATCAGAGTTGCATTAAATCTGTAAGAGTTGGGGGAGTATGGTCAGTTTCACTGTGTTCTTCCTGCCCACAAGCAGGGGATATCTTTCCATTTTCTGATATCTTCTTGCTCTCCTTTTTCAGAGAACTGTAATGTTCAATGTGTAGATCTTTCATGTTTTTTGTTAGATTGATTCCTAAGTATTTCATATTTTGGATGTTATTTTGAAGTGTTGTGGCCCAAATTTCTGTCTTAGTGAGTTTATTATTTGTGTA